AAAAAAAAAGAGAAAAAGAAAAACTAGCCAGACGGGGTGGCAAAAACCTGTAGCCCCAGCTACTTGGAAGCCTGAGGTAGAAGGATCGCCTGAGCCCAGCAGGTTGAGGCTACAGTAGCTGTGATCGTGCCACTATACTCCAGCCTGGGTTACAGAGTGAGTCAGAATAAATTGATTAAGTAATTAATTTAATATTTGTGTGAGCCAAACATCTGCTCTAGAATGTAGCTTAGAGGTGACAAGCTCTGGGGCCAGCCAGGCCAGGTGGCACTCCTGGTCCTGCAGCACTCACCAGCTTACTTCACCTCCTGATGCCTCAACACCCCCACCTGCAAAACGTCAATGACCCCACCTACAGCTCTTGGAGTGTGGTCAGAACTAAACAACTGGAGTACATAAAGTGCTTAGCAATGGCCAGTGGCCAGATAGAAAGTCCCTCCCTTGACTATTCGGCTAGCTGGCCCAGTTCAGCAAGCAGAGGCAGTGAGCCAGGGACCAGAAGCACTATGCTGGAAAACACGTCTTCCACGAGGACCCCAGAATTCCTGCACTGCATGAGAAGCTGAGGTAGGGACCCAAAAGTGTCCTTGCAGCTTTAAGAGCTTGGGATTCTAAAGTTCTAGTACTGCTTCTGTTGATGACAGAATATATCTGTGTAGCTTTCTAGAAAGCAACTTGGCAGCATGCCCCAAGAACCTTAAAAATGCTCGCCCTGGCCGGGCTCGGTGGCTCAACCTGTGAATCCAGCACTTTGAGAGGCCGAGGTGAGTAAGAATGTCTGAGCCCGCGAATTCGAGACCCGCCCGGGCAACTTGGTGAGACCTTGTCTCTACAATAAATCAAAAATTAGCCGGATGTGGTAACACGCCTATAGTTCTGGCTCCTTGGAAGGCTGAGGTGGAAGGATCGCTGGAGCCCAGCAGGTCGAGGCTGCCATGGCCATGAGTGTGCCACTGCGCTCCAGTCTGGGTGACAGAGTGAGGCTCCAACTCAAAAAAAAAAAAAAATGCTCGCCCTGTAATTGTGTCTGAGGACACCATCCGAAATGCACAAAGATTTCATCACAGCTTTATAGTTAAGAAATCAGAAACAACCTAAACATCCATCAGCAGGGATCATTTAGAAAAATTGTAGGATGCTCCCACAATGAATAACTGTGCTGCAGGAGATACCACTTATCATGCGGAAAGTCATTCACAGTGGTGCTTGTTGACAAAACACGGTCAAGTTTGATACCAATGCTGTGAATACTTGTAATGATCTATTTGCACAGGAAACCATTTGGAAGGACATACACCGAAATGCTGACAGTTGTTTTCCTTGTGTAAAAACTAAGAACAATTTTTGTTTCTTTCTTTTGCTCCTCCACATTGTCTAATATTTCTCAATGAACATGTGCTATGTTGGTGGCAATAAAAGATGTTAAGAAAAATACCAACACTTGGTTGTTTTTTGGTTTTTTTTTTTAGTTAAAGTCTCACTCTGTCGCCCAGGCTGGAGTGCAGTGGCACGCTCACGGCCACCACAGCCTCGACCTGCTGGACTCAGGCGATCCTTCTGCCTCAGCCTTCCAAGTAGCTGGAACTACAGGCACGCAATTTTTTGATTTTTTGTTGTAGAGATGAGGTCTCGCCCAGTTGGCCAGGCTGGTCACGAACCCGTGGGCCCAGGCAGTCCTCTCACCTCAGCCTCCCAAAGTGCTGGGATTGTAGGTGTGAGCCACTGCGCTTGGCCTATTTTTTGTTTTTTGAAGACAGGGTCTTGCTCTGTCATCCTGGAGTGCAATGAGCCATGATTGTGCCACAGCCTGCCTCAGCCTCCCGAACAGCTGGACTACAGGTGCATGCCACCACACCCAGCTAATTTTTATACTTTGTAGAGGCAGGGTCTTGCTATGTCGCCCAGGCTGATCTCAAACTCCTCGTACAAGCAATCCTCCCTCCGTGACCTCCCAAAGTGCTGGGATTATAGGCGTGAGCCATCACGCCCAGCCTCAATGCTATTTCCTTAAAGAAAGAGATGGTGAGGCCTGTACCAGAGGCTCAGACAATAATATTGCTAACAAAACCACAGCTTTACAGAGACAGTGACCTGCAGCTACAGATTCTTGGTGCCCAGACCAGAGAGAGCATCCCATGGGCCCTCAAGCCGATTTTTCACTACTTAGGTGTCCTTGGGACCATTTATCAGCACCCTGTGCTCTATCCTGTGCAAATGTACCTTCTTCTTTGTTCTAAACTTGAGACAGTCAGCATTTGGCTTCAGAGATCTCCAGGGGGTCTCCAGGGACATCCCCTGCCCCCACCCCAGCCTCTCCTAATCTATGGTCTGCATGGAAGCTTGGCCAAACAGCTCCTGAGAACAGAATGTTCTAATTTCCTTAAAAAAATGATTAAAGGAGAGAGAGAGAGAGAGATGAATTAAGCCAGAAAACAAGAAAAAGGAGGGAGGGCAAAGGGGGGACCAATGCTCCCTGCACACCTCTTCCCTGCATCCCTTTCCACTTGATTCTGGATTCAGAGCATCATCTAAAGCAGTGAGGAGCAACTCTCCCTGGAGCTGACTCACCCTCTTCCCAGAGAGATGAGCACAGGCTTCTCCAGCTCCATGAGCACTTGAAAGGCTTTATTCATGTTCTGATAGGAAAAGGCTTCTCCGGCATCTCCAATCACGACACAGTTTGGGTTGGACGTGTCGATCTGATCAAACTCTGAGCGGACTTCTGGAAACAGAAAAAGCTTGATCAAGCCCCGGGATGACACGGCCTACCTCTAGCTCCTGCCAGGAACACCTACATACCCTCCCTCTTTCTCAGACACGTGATTTCTTTCCAGTCCTCACAGCTGCCATGGGAGGCGGACAAAGACGGGTGTCATTTCCATTTTACAGAGGAAGAAATCCTAGCTCCCCACAGACAAGGAGCTTCCTAGGAGAAAGACAGACGGACCCATTTCCAGGATTCTGCATCCCAACACTGTCATTAGCCGTAATGGTATTAGCCACTGTCATTTCACTACCACAGGCAGGAAACAAACAGTTTTGCAACTGAGAAGGCACAGGGGCCTAGAGCACCCAGATTGCTAGCAGCTGGATGAAATGAGGCTGCTTAAACCCTTGGAGGGCTGGTACTGCTGGTCCCAAACTGTAAGAGCCATGGACACCTTTCAGGCAAACACACACATACATCCTGGAAAAAAAGAGAATTCTATCCCGACTGGTCCTGTTTATCAGCTCCCTTAGGAAAGTCTCTTCCTCCTCCTCCTTTTTCTTCCATCATTTTAAGTTAAAATAGGAAAAGTTGTAAGTATAGACAGAGTCATTGGCTTTACGTCTTAAGTCTCTAGAAAAACTTGCTCTCGTCTCTTGGTATTAGATGTTGACCTTTCTAGATTAAAATTAACTACGGCGGCCAGGTTGGGTGGCTCAGCCTGTAATCCCTGCACTTTGGGAGGCGGAGGTGAGTGGATTGCCTGAGCCCGCGGGTTAGAGACCCGCCTAGGCAACTTGGCGAGACTTTATCTCTACAATAAATCAAAAAAATTAACTGGGTGTGGTAGCGCGCGCCTGTAGTTCCAGATATTTGGAAGGCTGAGGCGGAAGGATCGCCGGAGCCCAGCAGGCGAGGTTGTGGTGGCCGGGAGCGGCCACTGCACTCCAGTCTGGGCGACAGAGTGAGACTCCAACTCAAAAAAATAAAAATAAAAATAACTACAGCTGGGCTCGGTGGCTCAGCCTGTCATCCCAGCACTTTGGGAGGCCGAGGCAAGTGGACTGCCTGAGCCCGTAGGTTCAAAACCCACCCGGGCAACTTGGTGAGACCTCATCTCTACAATTAACAAAAATAGCCAAGTGTGGTGGCGCGTACCTGTAGTTCCGGCTACTTGGAAGGCTGAGGCAGAAGGATCGCCGGAGCCCGGCAGGTTGAGACTGCAGCCGTGAACATGCCACCGCACTCTAGCCTGGGTGATGGAGTGAGACTCCAACTCAAAAATAAATAAATAAATAAAATAAAAAATTAACTGCAATGAGGTACCACTTCATACCTACCAGAATGGTGAGAATTAAAAAGACTGGTAAAGCCAAGGGCTGCTGAGAATACTGAACAGCTGCAACAGATAGAGGGAGAGTAAAACAGCACACAGTCCCTCTGGAAAAAGGCCTGGCAGTATTTTATAAAATTACACATACACCTACCCTGTGATGCATCAATTTCTTTCTTCCCTTTTTTTTTTTTTTTTTTTGAGTTGGAGTCTCACTCTGTCGCCCAGGCTGGAGTGCAGTGGCATGCTCACGGCCACCTCAGCCTCGACCTGCTGGGCTTAGGTGATCCTTCTGTCTCAGCCTTCCAAGTAGCTGGAACTACAGGCATGCTGCGCCGCCACATCCAGCTAATTCTTTTTTATTTATTGTGGAGATGAGGTCTCGCCAAGTTGCCCTGGCTGGTCTTGAACCCATAAGCTCTGGCAATCCTCTCACCTCTGCCTCTCAAAGTGCTGGGATTATAGGTGTGAGACACTGCGCCCTGTCTGACCCATCAATTTCACTCATAGGTATTATATTTAACCAAAAAGAATGTTCATAGCAGATTTAGTCACAATAACTTAAAACTAGAAACAATCCAGGTATCCATCAATATGTGAATGGATAAACTGAGGGTGTTCACTCACAGACTACTACTTTACAATAAAAATGAAAAAACTGATCATGCAACAATGTGGATGAGTCTCAAAATACTACGTTGGGTGAAAGAAGCCTTACACAAAAGACTACTATGAAAACAAGGGTTGACTCAGCAGGCCTGGGTTGCTCAAATCCTGCACATTCCAAAGAAGGCCTGTCTTCAGAACTGGCCCCAGGTGCCCCGGGAGATAACCTCCAAGCCCTTGTGATATCCTGCCCAATAAACAGGGTTTTGTACCCTGAGGCCCTGGGCCATGCTGGATCAGTTTAAACTCTGGGGGGCTAGAGACTGAGTAGCTAAGGTCAGTTCGGTGGTTCAGCCTGTAATCCCTCGCCTTGGGAGGCTGAGGGTGAGTGGATTGCCTGAGCCCGCGGGTTCGAGACCCGCCTGGGCAGCGAGACCTCATCTCTACAATAAATCAAAAAATTAGCTGGGTGTGGTAGCGCATGCCTGTAATTCCGGCTACTTGGAAGGCTAAGGCGAAGGATCGCCGGAGCCCAGCAGGTCGAGGCTGCGGTGGCCAGGAGTGGCCACGGAACTCCAGTCTGGGCAACAGAGTGAGACTCCAACTCAAAAAAAAAACACAGGTGTGTCCCAGAGTGACTCCACTTCAGTGGGACAACTGGAAGCTCACGTGTGGTTTCTCCTGGACTTTGCCCCATGTGTCTCCTCCCTTTGTTGAGTTTAATCTGTATTTGTTCATTGTAATAAATTGTCACTGTGAGTATTTGTTCATTGTAATAAATTGTCACTGTGAGTATAACAACTGTTCTGAGTTCGTTAAGTCTTTCTAAAGAATCATTCAGGATTGCCTAAGCCCGTGGGTTCGAGACCCGCCTGGGCAGCGAGACCTCATCTCTACAATAAATTAAAAAAATCAGCTGGGCATGGTAGCACACACCTGTAATTCTGGCTACTCGGAAGGCAAGGCAGAAGGATCGTCGGAGCCTAGCAGGTCGAGGCTGCGGTGGCCAGAAGCGGCCACTGCACTCCAGTCTGGGAGACAGAGTGAGACTCCAACTCAAAAAAAAAAAAAAGAATCATTCAGCCTGGGGATGGTATCGAAGCCCTCCAAACACAATTATATATATACTGTATGATTCTATTTACATAAAATTCTAGAATAGGCAAACTTATTTATAATGGAAAAAATCAAAATAATGGTTGCTTCTAAAGAGCTAAGGGGTAGGGATGGATTAGAAAAGGCATGAGAAGCCGGGCTCGGTGGCTCAGCCTGTCATCCCGCGCCTTTGGGAGGCTGAGGTGAGTGGATTGCCTGAGCCCGCGGGTTCGAGACCCGCCTGGGCAGCGAGACCTCATCTCTACAATAAATCAAAAAATCAGCCGGGCGTGGTAGCGCATGTCTGTAATTCTGGCTACTCAGAAGGCTGAGGCGGGAGGATCGCCGGAGCCCAGCAGGTGAGGCTGCGGTGGCCGGGAGCGGCCACTGCACTCCAGTCTGGGTGACCAAGTGAGACGCCAACTCAAAAAAAAAAAAGAAAAGGCATGAGGGAGCTTTTGGTGATGGTGATGTCCTAGGTCTTGATGGAGCTGGATTCCACAGGTGTGTGCAACTGTAAAAACTCAGCAAAAGTACCCTTCGGGCCAGATGCGATGGCTCAGCCTGTAATCCCAGCACTTTGGGAGGCCGATATGAGAAGATTGCCTAAGCCCAGGGGTTTGAGACCAGCCTGGACAACTTGGTGAGAGCTCATCTCTACAATAAATCAAAAAATAAGCCAAGCATGGTACCAGCTACTTGGAAGGCTGAGGTGGAAGGATCGCTTAAGGCCAGCAGGTTGGGGCTGCAGTGGCCGTAAGTATGCCACTGCACTCCAACCTGGGCGACAGAGGGAGACTCCAACTTAAAAAAGAAAAAAAAAAAAGTACCCTTCAGGTGTGTGCATTTCAGCATGCCCAGTCTGCAATTTACTTTGCAATTCACATCAATTTCATACATTGATGTATGCAAAGTTAACATCAACAGAAAAAACTGTAAACAAATGCTGAACTCCCATGCATTTAGTGGAGTATACCAATGTCTGCAATTTACTGTTTTTGTGTTTGTATTTGTCAGAGTCTCACTCTGTTGTCCTGGAGTCCAAGTGGCACAATCACAGATCACCAAAGCCTCTACCTCCTAAGCTTAGGTGGTCCTTCCTCCTCAGCCTCCCAAGTAGTTGGGACTATATGCACGCACCACCATGCCGACTAAGTTTTTAATTTTTTAAATTTTTTTGTAGAGACGAAGTCTCACGATGTTGCCAGGCTAGTCTCAAACTTCTGGACCTAGGCAATCCTCTTGCCTTGGTCTCTCTAGGTGCTGGGATTACAGACAAGAGCCACCGCGCCCGGTCTGCAATTTCCTTTGAGTTGCATCCAAAAAATAACATGGATAGATGGATGGTGAGATGGAGGAATATACGGTGAAGTAAAATATCCTGTCATTGACAGTCCAGGTGATGAATATAAAACTCTCTCAAGTAAAAATTCTTGGAGCTTTTGACCGTATGTCTGAAAATTTTCATAATAAAATGTTGGAGGAAAAAAATCTGTCAACAATAAAAATGTCTCAAAATTCCAAGTCTGGGACACAGGTCCACCACGGAGAACATAGCCGCAGGGTCCCGGCTGAGGAAGGGCTTCTGTCTCCCTGCCCACCCAGGCTTGCTACCGGCCTGCTCACTCCGCGCCGCGCCACCTTCCAGGCCGACGCTCACTTCCCTTCACGCCTTTTCTCCAGCCCCGTCCCAGGCCCTTTCTGGGGGACAGGGCAGAGAGGATTTCTTTCTCAAGTCTTCTTTCTTTGAAGGCCATGTTCTAAAGACTCTGGCAAGGATCCTAGATGGGGGAGAGAGGGTTTTGAGAAACACGGGTTCTAAAGGCCGGGCACGCCGCCCCTCACTGGCGCCAGGGCTGCGAATTCAACACTTGGGCCCTCCAGGGAGCACCCTCCACCTCTCGAGAGCCCCCACTCTGGCCCTGGGAAGGAAGAAAGCATGCTTGCCTCTGCCCAGTGGTGTGTTAAAGTGAAACTCTCAAGTGTGGAGGAAGGAAGGAAGAAGGCTCAGTGGACCGACAGAGAAGTGGCCTGAATTCCCAAGTGCTGCTAATGTCTCTTCCTTTTAAATATTCAGAAGGCACCCGATAATACTGCTCCTCCTGCTTTGTTACCCCAAAACTCCCCACTGAGGGTCAAAGGGGCTGTTTTCCAGCATTGAGACTAAAATCAGGATGCAAACCTTGTTCCTACAGTCATTTGCCAACTGTTCCAAAGAGCGGGGCTGGCTTTCAAAAAGACATTTAGTCCAAGGCTACAGGTGCCAGACATTAGAAAGCTCCAGATCTCAATCCAGCTTCTCACATTCATTCTCATTCTCTCTCTCTCCCTCTCTTTCTCAACAGGAACTAGAATTGTGCCCCCTTGACAGTCCTCCGGTCCCTTGGTCCATCTTAGACCAAGGAAAGCCAGCTCAGGGTTTTCCTCACAGGAGCCACGAGAATCTGCCTCTGTTAACCCCAGCGTGAGGGTGGATGGGACTGCGGCCTCCCCCATAGCCTGTGCTGGTAGCAGGAGCCAGGTGTTGCCTCTGTGTCCTTCCCAGGAATTTGGCCCAGCTGAGAGTAGAGCCCTCTCCCCAGCTCCCACCCTGGAAAAAGGGAAGCTTCACCCCCTCTAAGGTCCTGGCGCCCGGCAGGCCTACCGTCATGGATGAGCAGGTGTGGCCGCAGGCCTTGTTCCTTCAGGATCTGGCAGGCGGCTGGTGCCGGGGCGGTCACCTCCTCCTCGCAGATGTCAAATCCCAGCTGCCGCAGCCTCCCCACCAACTTTCCACGGGACTTCTGCGACTCGTTGGTGCAGAATCTCACCTTCAGATGGGACCGCTTCAGTCTGTGCAGGGGGAAAGGACAAGCCAGGGTGTTGGCAGCACGCGGAGTGTGGGCCTCTAGAAAGGAATCAGAGACAGGCACTTCTCCAAGGGCAACCGGTAAAGGTCCAGAGGAGGCCAGGTCGCTCAAGTCCCTTAGTTGGCCCTGACTGACGTCCGAGTATGTTCAGGCTGGAGTTTCTGAGCTGAAGCAGACCCCAACTCGGAGGACCGGATGCCATGCCCCACAACCCTCTTCCTCCATGCTACCGGACTGGAGACACCTGAGACCCCCCAAAGTTCACCACCTGACGTTCTCTGTCTATGCCTCCCCCTCTACCTGGGAAGCATCTTGTCCCCTCACCTGGGACACACGCCCTCTACCAGTGCCAATTCTACCCAGCCCTGACACCCAACCCTCCCTCCTGCTCAGCCTGGCTAGAGGTCACCTCTGAATGTCCACAGCTGCTTCTCAGTACCTTCCATGACACTTAGCATTTCCACTCCGCATCTGAGCCACATAGGTCCATGCCTTATGGATGCTGGATCCACATTTTCCAAAAGATACAAAGGCAGAGGGACCACACCAAGGCTTGTCTTGCAGGCTATCAACGCAGAAAGCTTTGCCAAAGTCATCAGGGACACAAACTGTTCTGGGATGGACAGACAGGATACCAACTCTGCCGAAACCCAGTATCAAGGTAACGTGAACCCAGGGTGCTGCTGCTGGCACCTGGCTTCTTCCCACCTGACTTCACAGGGGATACTGCTGCCTCCCAGCTACACTTGGGCAAGTTCTCCGGACACAAAGCAGCTGCCTAAACAGGCTCCGAAGGAAATAACATTTGTTCGCCCTTCTACAAATTATTACTGAGTACCTACTACTAAGTGCCTGGTGACCCTGGCCTAGGCCACGGAGCTGGAGCTGTGTGCAGCAAGGTTCCTATTCTCCAGGCCACCATTAGGCAGATGAGGAGGCAGAAGACGGGTATTATGCAGAATATAAGCAGAGTGAGGAGAAAGAGGGTGACCAGGTGGGTCGGAAGGTCAAGGGAGGCCTCTCTGAGGAAAACAGCTCCGGTGCTAAGACCTCCAGAGAGAGGAGGTGCTGGTGGCCTTGCAAGGAGATGAAGGAACAGCAACCAGGGAAGGGTGCATCTGTGCAAGAGGAGGAGGCTGGAGGGCCGGCACCCACCAGCAAGGGATCCCCGTATGAGAGTAGCCAGCAGAGGTGGGGGGGCGGGCCACCCAAGCAGGAGTAGGGGACAGGAAGGACCTGGCCCCACTGGCTCCCTCGCCCATATCACACAGTCCTCCCTGCACAGACCCGGCCCTATCAAGGCAGTGGTCATATCTGGCATCTGCAGAGTCACAGTATGAAGTCATGGAAAAGACACCAGCTGCAAATTCCCAGCCCAGGCCTGGTAGGCACTTTTAAGAAACCCCAGTAAAATTAAGCTGTCACCAAGCACAGTTCTCAGACTGGGCCCTAAACGTGTACAATTCACTGCCCTTCAGAAATGGAGGAAGATGTCTTGACTCTTGACCCATCCTTTCAAGTTGCTTATTTTTTTTATACTCTAAGCCAGCGGTCCCCAACCTTTTTTGACATCAGGGACTGGTTTTGTGAAAGACAGTTTTTCCACGAACTGAGGTCAGCAGGGCGAAGGTTTCAGGATGATGATGACTCAAGCACATTACATTTATTATGCACTTTATTTCTATTATTATTACATTGTAATATATAATGAAATCATTATGAAATTATTATTTTGATATGAGTCTGCAAGCAATTGATTTATTACAGTCTCTGTGCAGTCAAACCTCACTGCTAACGTAATCTGTATTTGCAGCCACTCTCCAGCACTAGCATCATCACCTAAGCTCCACCTCAGATCGTCAGGCATTAGATTCTCATAAGGAACGTGCACCCTAGATCCCTCCATGTGCAGTTCATAACAGGGTCTGCACTCCTATGAGAATCTAATGCCACTGCTGATATGACAGAAGATGGAACTCAGGCAGTAATGCAAGCCATGGGGAACAGGTGTAAATGCAGATGAAGCTTCACTCACTCACCCGCTACTCACCTCCTGCTATGTGGCCCGGTTTCTTTTTTTTTTTTTGAGTTGGAGTCTCACTCTGTCACCCAGACTGGAGGGCAGTGGTACTCCCAGTCACCGCAGCCTCGCCCTGCTGGGCTCCAGAGATCCTTCCACCTCAGCCTATCAAGTAGCTGGAACTACAGGCCCGTACCACCATGCCTGGCTAATTTTTTTTATTAATTGTAGAGATGAAGTCTCACCAAGTTGCCAGGGCAAGTCTCAAACCCATAAGCTCAGGCAATCTTCTCACCTCGGCCTCCCAAAGTGCTGGGATTATAGGCATGAGCCACCGCACCCAGCCTGAGTCCCGGTTTCTAACAGGCCACAGACTGGTATTGGTCCATGGTCCAGGGGCTAAGAACCCCTGATCTAAGTAATATATTAATACAGCATTAAGTGCATAATTAATAATTTAAAAAGAATAAACATGGAGAGAAAGTATATGCTCATTTTGTTTTTACAGACTTGGCCCCAGTCAAAAGCGTCTAGCAGTAACACACAGATTCAACCCAGCTACTCAGAACTATGGCTTCAAATTAACTTCCATTAGAGCGAGTCAATGAGATCCAGCCAACAATTCAACTCAACCCCTGTGAGAACCTAATTTATCACACTTTATGGGTGCGGAAACTGAGTCCCAGGAATGTCAAGGGCTCTCTGTTCCTCTTCCTGAGTCTGAAACTTTGGGTCTGAGGCCGATTTCTACCTAAGGTAGAGTCAGGAACGGGAAATCGGGGCTAGAGGAGATGATCCTGCAGAGGGGGAAGGGCGGGACCCGGTGTGGGCTCTCAGAAGACTTCCTGGAAGATCCAGGCCCAACTGGTGACTTGCAGGACAGACGAGGAGATGGCAGGAAAGGGCAGGCCAGGCGGCAGGAAGAGCAGCCCACCATCACGGAAGGGCAGATGCCCACAGGCCCTCACCCACACCCCTCCAGGTAGAAAGAATGAGCAGCTCCGGGTGTGTGGAAGGTGGACTGGAAAACATGCAGGAGTGGAGGACAACTGAGAGGGCAGAGGAGCCAGGCACTGCGCCCCACTACTGAGGTGGAGGGGTACTCCAACCATGGCCCTCAGTGGTGGTGACAGCAACTGGGAAAAGGTGGCAGGTCTCAGGTTAGTGTACCCTCCCACGATCCTGCATGGCATTGGACCCGCCCTGTCTCTGGCACATCCACTACATTTCTTGCCAACACTAAGCAATATCTCCAATCATCTGATTCATGTATTTGTTGTCCTTCTCCTGGCCTATGTGCTCCAAGAGTTCAGGGATGAGTCTCTTTGGGTATCCATGGCTTCCCCAGGCATTCCCGCAGGGCTTGCTGCAGGCCCCCAACAAACGTTTGCTGAATGACTGACTGATGGAAAAGTCTGTGACCTCTCCTGTTACTTCCCTGAGGGTGTCCCCAAGCCTGCAGCCCCCTGATAAGCACCAACAGAAACAGACAGGCTTCCGTGGGGAAAACACACATTCCTACACTGAGGCGAGCCTCCAGCCCTGGAGCTGACAGGAAAATTTGAGAAGAAATTTGTGAGCTGACTGACTACGTGGTAAACACAGACCGAGAAGCTGACGATGTCTTCTTCCGTAGCGCAGGTGATTAATTCCTTTCTTTCTATTTGTCTTTCCCAATCAGAGGTTTATGAATTATCAATTACACTTAGTGGTTAATTGCCCTTCAAAAAGATAGCTTTTTTTATTTTTAAATTAGGCAGTTAATATATTGTAACTAATAGCATCACCTTGTACATTACGGATGGAACTTCATTGATTGGCGCCTGAGATGTGTGATCCGCACCCAAGTTAATGGAGCAGTTGAGTGAAGACGTGCAGGAGGTCCCAGGGGACTAATTATTGCTAATGAATGATGATGTGACCTTCTCAGAACAGTGAACAATCGGTGTGACAGCGAGATGACAGTGCCTCACATCTGTTATTCCAAACACAGCTTCAGATGTGAGTGAAAAAATGAGTAAATCGCAGAACTCACCTCAGGACACTTAAGCCACCAGTCTTCTTTGAAATGGCAGCTTAAGTTCCTCCAAAAGACATGCTTTTAAAATCAATGACTAGTTTTAAGAGTCCGACCCTCAAAACTCTAATGGGAAATGCTGAGGTAAGTCCCTCCCTTTGGTGCCACCAGACCACACTCCCTTTTGAGGCGTCACCGCCGACCCCTTCTGACCACCAGCCCAAGGTTATCTCATCCTTATTTTATTTATTATTTATTTATTTGAGCTGGGAGTCTCATCTCACTCTGTCACCCAGGCTGGAGTACAGTGGCAGGCTCACGGCTACTGCAGCCTCAACCTCCTGGGCTCAGTCAATCTTTCTGCCTTAGCCTTCCAAGTAGGGACTACAGGCGCATGCCACCACACCCAGCTAATTTTTTTTGATTTACTGTGGAGACAAGGTCTCGCCATGTTGCCCAGGCTGGTCTCAAACTTATGGACTCAGGCAATCCTCTCACCTCAGCCTCTCAAAGGGCTGGGATTCAACACTTGGGCCACTGCACCCAGCCTCTTCCTTATTTTAAATTACTGAAAAAATAAAAATATTCACTATTATGATTAAAATAGTCAAATATTAATACAACCTTATATTGAAACTTGCTTTTGGGTAAACACCATGCCCTCACTCAGTATCCATGATCTGATTTTGGTCCTCGTGTCCCAGGCATTTGTTATCCCTTGGGATTACATACATTCCCCAGGGTCAGGTGCCTTGACAGCCTTCACTAAGTATGTGCCAACTGCGTAAGCGAGCCTAGAGCCTAGGTAAGAACTATTATTTCCACTCAAAGTCTGTAAAAACAGAGGCCCTGCGAAGCAGAGACCTGACCAAGGTTATGCAGCGTGCAAGCAGCAAAGCCTAGGAGCCCTCAGGTATCTGCGGTTGCATGTACAGGCCCCTGCACC